AGCCACGGAGAACTGATAATTTGTTTCCCCAAATTCCCTTCAGATGCACACTCTTCTAAAGGAGTGGCAAATTATACTTCCCCAGCCAGAAGCAGGAGTGTAAAAAACTTTCTTATCAAAAATGAAAATTTGCGCAGATTAGAAAAATGTGGATCCACTTAGGTTACACGACTCGCAGGAACGCCATTTGAAAGAGTCATCTCAAAAATATTAAAACCATTTTTGAAAAAGAAAGTGCCCAATTCTAAGCCAAGATAAGAGGAGTCTTGTCAAAATGGTCTTCACTGCATGTGCCTAGACATTTCTCCGTTCACTCACCAATTAGATACTTTTTGCTGTCCAAAAGAACTGCTTTAATCGAACATTTTGAGCGTTCAAAGTTTAGAATTTGTAAAGCAATGTCCGTGCTCAGTGGAAATTAACTAAGGCGGTTATATGTAAACACATTTTAAATAGAAAACAGAAAAGCTCACATCGTACAGCACAACAATGAATGGAAGGGAGATGGAAGATGCGACCACTTCCCCCTCCTCCATATTCCTCCTCATTTCTCAAAATGAGAAATAGAGGTGAGATAGGTTGCGGAGAGGTGGTTTTGGGGGGATTGTTCACAGCTTCAAGAGACGAAATGTTTTACCAAAATACAAAATCGGAGCTAGCTTGTGCCGCATTTAGAAAGGGTGAAAAAGTATCGTATTGGTGGTTCTCTCAACAGACAAAGCACTTCAAACAGCTTTCTACAACTACCCAACTTTGGTTACAAAGATTCCAGGTACATCTCAGGAGGTTAAGAAATCCCGATAAGCTCAAAATAGCAATTGTCTCTTCTCTCAATGATTTAGCCGAAACGTTCAAGGAATAGTGGCGAAGACAATGCTGTCGGGGGCTGTTCTGCGAAGGTACGACTTTTTCAAGATTTGCAAAAAAGATTAAACTTTTGCACTATTTTACGATCACAGGGTTTTAATATTCGCCTTCAACATGAATAATTCAATTTCTTCTTTATTTTCCAACCGTAGACAAGCCCAAGATCATGCAAATGGAGGCCTCGCCAACAATCAGATTCACAGAAAGTAATTTATAACCATTTGCTACATTTTTAAAAGTATGAAATACGAACTTACTTTGCTATGCGAAGTTATTCATCTTGAATAACTTAATAAATAAAAATAATTGCGCTTGTCTGCAAACCCAATGGTCTAGCAGAAATGCTCGGGGAAAAGTGGCCACGACCAAGACCAGGGAAGCGAGTCCTCGTCAAAGGTACCGAGCCTTCATCTGCAAAATTTACTTTTCTACATTTCACACGAAACGACCACTTTATTTCGTTTTTTGCCTCTCAAATCTAGTCAAGTCGAAAATCACACAAACGGAAGTCGTGCCAGCAATCAGATTCACAGGAGGTGCGTTCTTATGTGTGCTTTACTTTGATGGAAGAAATTCACACCTATTCAGTTATAACCTAATCTAGTTAATACGGGTTCTAATCAGGGCTTAAAAACGAGCCTTTCACGAAAACGCGAATGCTTAAAGCTCTTTTCAAGAAAGTTTTTCAAAACAAAATGTTCACCGGGTGAGAGTACTAAATACTTTCGCAGGATGAACGCGAGCAACAGCGATGTCCTTCCCGGGTAGGCTATTCTGCATTTCTAATGCCCAAGTAGTTAAAAGAAACTTAAATTGCCGTGTGTGGAGATCACAAAACATACTTACAAATAATAAGTAGTATTTGAGGGAGTTAAGCCCACCTTGCAGTGCAATTATCACCGCTTTTCTTTTATTAAATTTAGATGTCCTTAATGAAAATATTTCAAAGTAAACGTTCTCCAAAGGTTGTTTTCATTGTCACTCTTTTAAGTGTGTTTATAAAGGGATCAGCTAAGTAAGCTTCTTTGTGGAATTTCAGCAAACCCCAAAGGCCTCCAAAGGAGCTAATCAAAAAGAGGTAATGGCCCTCGCAGGTTATGACAGAAAACAACATAAATACACAAGATTGGGTAAACGTTAAGCCTAGACAGCCACTTGATGGGGTAATTTGCAAGATTAAGTAATAAATACCAAATATGCAAGATCGCCAAGAATGTGGAAGACAACAGCATATCACAGACGAAAAAGCTGGAAAGCCGATGCATGGAGCACTTTCCCTTCAAGTACCTTTTACAGCTCATAAAGTTGAATGATGTAGTTAAACAAACTCCTAAATGAAGTGGTCAATTGCTAGGGGTTAATTCGTCCAAAAGTGGTTTATCCAAAGCGCTTAATTCCAAGCAATATTTTGTAGAAACCTTGCTCGAAGTGCTCCCAACAACAACCTCAGCAAACGTCGAGTTGTTGTGGAAGCTGTCTCAACTCTGTCCAATCTGCCAAGGTAACAAATCTTAACATCCTTTACGACGAGACCAGGCGATAAAAAAGCTAATTTCCCATCTTGAAGTCGAGAATATTTGACTTACTGTGGCATCTGTGTAGGTGGTGGCAGCAAGATCTGGTTCCCTTAAATTTGGCCAAATGAAGATTTGTTATATTACATGTCGTTGCCACTCAATTTCACAACTCTGAATTGGAAGCATTTTTTGTGTAGAAATCGTCCATGGAGTCTTCGCAACAGCCGTGTCCTTGCAAGGCAATCTAACTGTTTAACTGTCCCAGTTCGAGTTGGTTGGTTGGTTTATAGGGAGGCGTTTTAACAGTTTTCCTAGAATCTAGCAAACTCTAAATCCTTAACAAAAATCAGACATCCGAAAGGCAAACGTTGTCCTCTTTCATGAGATTTATAAATGCACATCCAAAAATAATTGTCAAAGACTTTGTAAACAAGTAAAACAAGAACGCCACTGAAACTGGTCAAATTGTTGTTCCATTTAAAATTTAAAGAAACAAATTGTCCACTTAAAAATAATCACTGAATTCAAACTTACTTTAGAGGGAAAGCGAGCAACAACAGGAGTCGCCGAAGGTGAGGCACTTAATGTTCACTATTTCGTGATCACCCACTTGACACAGGAAACAGGCTATTTCAGCTCGGTTTTTGTCCACTCCGGGAAAATAAAATGTTTAGTTTAATGAAATAGACGTCCACTTAGTCTCTCGCACCTATTTTTGTAGAAATGTTCCTCCTCGAAGTGCTCCCAACAAAAGGCCACATTGAAGGTGATTGAATGTGCTTTGAAGTCGGTGAACTTTTTTCCCCACTTTTTGTCTCGAAATAACCCTCGGAAAACACCGAACTGTTGGGGGAGCTGTCTGGACTCCGTACAAACTTTCTTTTATGCTTGAAGACAATCTGATTTCGTGTGGCATAACACGCCTTTATCATTCAATTTTACAAGCAACAATTTCAAAATTCAAGTACATTCTTCCTAGAAATCGTCAGTGGAGTCTTCGCAACAGCAATGTCCTTGCAAGGCAATCCATACGTTTAACTCCCCAGTTCGAGTTGGTTAATTAGGTTTATTATAAATTATAATTATAATTATAATTATAATTATAATAATTATAAATAATTATTATAAATTATCAATGTTTCAGACACCAAATAGGTAACTTTTAGACTGGCTTCTCACAGGAGATTTTGAAATGCACATTCAAAAATATTTATCAAAGACTTCGTAAACAAATTGTTGCCCAGTTTTGAGTTTCATGAAATGCCTTGTCCACTTGCAACTAAGTAGTAACTTCCCATCCACTTCAGAAGGAAAGCGAGCAACAACAAGAGTCACCGAAGGTGAGGCACTTTAAATTCATACCTCATGATTACGTACTTTGCATGAAAAAAAAAAACGGATTAAAAAAAATGCACGTCAACTTATTGGAAAGAGACTTAATCTGCCGTGCGTTCCTACCCACATTTTTGCGAATGACTGAAATCCCAAACGAAAAAATAAACGTCTTGTAGAAATCTTCTCCCTCAAAGTGCCTCCAACAACAACCCACATCAAAGGTGATTGAGCTTATTTTGAAAAGGGTTAAAACCCTTCCAAGCCTTGTCTACAAAGTATGTAAACGTGTTTTCTTGGAACAACTTCAGCAAAATCCAAGTTATTGCGAGTGTGACAGTCGTCACGAATCCACCCAATCTACCAAGGTAATCTTGTTAGCAAAAAGGAAAACTCTTCCCTAACCTTTGAGGAAATTCCAAGATTTAACAACAAATACTAACAACCACTAAGTGAACCTTCAAAAATGACCGGTACAGGCATCAAAGAAAGAAGGATTATATGAAAATGGTCATTATTAGCTAAGAAACAATCGAATTTGCACCTATTTTTGATTTGAATAAATATTTACTTAAGGAATCCCAAGATGACCAACAACAACAACAAGACTGTTGCACAGAGGTAATTGCCTGTTCGACAAACTTCCATCTCCAACCTAATTCTTAACAAGCATGATCTGCTTCCGTGAAACAGGGCAGTCGTCAACATATGTGCCCAGCAGAGGTTGCCACACTTGCGTTTTCGTTTTTCTTCAAAAAAATTTGTTCATTTTGATTTTATCGTTATGCTACATTCTGGAAAACAAAAGCTGTTTTTGGTGCCTTGAATTTTAGCACGATGTGTATCCCCTACAAGAGGAGGTAAAAGTTTGCTTTAAGCCCTTAACACAACCTGACTGTCCACTTTGCTTTGACAAAGATTGGGAGAGAGAATCATCGTCATTACTGTCGGTTTCCTCAGCCGAAATGTTTTACCAGGAGCAAAAAACACAGTTTATTTTTAATTCTCAAAAAAATACGAGCATTTTGATTCAATGTAATCTGAGGTACCTATTTTTACTAAACCTGTCTACATTATTTTCCCACTTCAAGCATAACCGTAGGAAAGTGATTTGATAAAGTGCGATAGCATTACCCTTTCATCCCAAACCGAGTTATGTAGAAGGTGGAGGGATGTTCCAGGGAGCATCAAAACCTCTAAATAGAGAAAGCGGGAAGTAAGCTAGCCTTCGCCTAGCCCCTACCAGGCGGAATTAACTGCTAAAATTACTCTCCTTCAAAAAAATAAAATTAACAAATTACGTGTCTGCTTTTACTAGCCCACCTCACAATTGAATCCAAGAGACACACTGAAGAGAATCCGCTGTTTAAAAGTGAGCTTGCTTTTTTGTTTACTTGAGCTCCAAATTCGAAGAAAACTAGCCAAGACTGTCCTTGCCTCTTTTGCAATTATTTCAGCAAAGTAAGCCGTCTCTGCGCCGGGAGGCACCTCGCCAATCAATTGATCCATTGGTAGAACTTTTGTTCATGTATTTCGTGAAAAAAAGCAACCTTACCCTCTACGAGAGAAATAACATTCTCCTTTTCTTCACCTTTTTTTCTGCAGCAAATACCTGCCTTCGCTTACAATGACACGATTTGCTCTAATCAGGTGAGGTCACTTTAGTGCGGACTTTGTTTAATCTCTCCTCCCGTGGAGGGACAACACTGTGACTTGGAATGTGTGCATTTCTAGTCTGAGCAATCCTGCCGCGCACAAATGGATGCCCAATTAGGACGTGAGTCCGAGGTAAAAGTGGGGTAAAAGAAAACCATTTCCCATTAAAAAAAGACGAATTTTCCTACACAGAGTGTAGAAAGATGACCATTAGAAAAAAAGGACAGCTTAACTTTACAATGAACGACAAGCGATTCTGCCCCAAACTGGTACTTAAATCCATACTTACTCTACCGTCATTAAAAGCTGTTCTTAAAATAAGTCCAAATGGTCTTTTTCCATCATTTCGTCTATTAGAGATGTGCTTGAATGAATTTTTCCAAGTAAGCATTGCTGGGATAAATGTTGGGAATCTCGAGGCATAGGAATCTGCTCCTTAAATTTAAACAGATGTGGATTGCAAAGCTTCATCCAACCTGTTGAGCGCTTTCCCTGTCCATAGCGTTGGAGAACCCACATTTCCGGCACTTAATTGTCTCCAAATATGACCGATCTGATTTACAACCACCTAATTTGATGAAGAATAGGTCAGCTTACTCATTCGCTACAACCTTAAACCAATTTTGGGCCTTGAAACATGTGACGTAAGGTGGCGCAACGGTCAAGACTTCTTAAATCTACGCAGAAGATCACTCACTCCGTCTTATCTATTAGAGGCATTGCAAACCCCCCAAATGAGGGAGACATTTGACAGACTTGTCAAATTACCTAGTCAAACATCACTGCTATTGACTACCGAAATGCACCTCTCTTCAACATCAAAACCTAACGCAATGTAGCACAAGAACCCAGATCTCGGAAAACCTACATGCTTCACCGTCTTTCACTTGTTATACTCTTGCGCCAAAAACGTTTATTCAGACAAATGTCCAATAGACGAACATCAGATACTGGTTGAGCTATTACTATGACCCTGAAAGACCCGACGTGTTCACACATGATACATTTGATCAAAACCGTGGAATATCTGGGGAAAAATCAAGACGAAGCAATCTACAGTCGAAATTTGAAAGAAACTAATCCATATTGTGCATTTCAGGATAACTCGGAATCACAGTGTACACTCAAGTGATCGAGAGATTTAGAGATAAACCGAGGGGTGGGTCGCAGATAAAGTCATAAAGGTAAGGATTGTAAAAGGGGGGAAGAAAAGCCGTTTTTACAGTTTTACAAACGAAACTATCCCACCCCATTCCCTTGCCCTCTTTGTAAGCACACAGATCAAAAGTAGTAGCAAGTTGTAGCATATTTCAGCGCCAAGTTTATTTTAAGAAAGAGCAATTAAAAATCATTTGCAAAAGTGAAATTATGTTTATTTTGATAAAGTACTAAGCATACATCTGAGATTAGGGCCTATTTAGTTTTGAAAGCTACTTATTTTACACAAACAAGCACTCACTATGAAAAGTAAGTCCCCTATTAAATACTTCCAGGATTCTAAATTAACGAATAATGAATGGAAAAGGCTAAGAAACGGAATACTTTTAGCACATTGCTCTAGCAAGATTTGTCACATTTTTTAGTTCGGAGACTAATCGAACTCGACGCAAAATTTGAAATAGTTGGAGGAAGTAGATCAGAGCACAGGTTAGTCACTGAAACACGGAATCCACGCTGTCAAGCAGCCATTGGCTGAATGGCAGACCAATCACATTTGGACAATCTATAACAGACTTCTAAAACTTCACTTTTTTTCCTTTAGTTCAAATACACCAGGCTAGCAAAATAGAGAAAAACATCGTTCTTACTTTAAAAGCTTCATTTCACCATTATTTATCCCCTTTTCCTTAATTTCTACAATGATTTAATAAAGCCTTTTTTCCATTCGCTTCTGTTTTCGACCAATGGTTTGCTGCCCGATCAGTGGACACACGCACTTCCATAATCCCTGTAACTAGTCGGATTTCTCACAGTTTCGGAAAAAAGGGAGTAATTCAGCAAAATTTAACAAATTTGATGAGAATTCGTGTACGGGAAGAGTTCTTTCTTAACAAAAGCGAAGAAGAATAGTAGCAATTAACAGTGAAACTAAAACACTTCAAAGCCGAACCTAATCCTTCTTCTTGTCCCTATCATCGCCAATCACTGCAGCCAGTTCTTTCTAAAAAAAGCATGCCAAATTAACTTGTTAAGAAGAAGGGGGAGGAGGGAAAGAAGCAACATTAGAATTATTCACGCTTCATTACCTGAAGTTGTTGACATTCAGCAGAAACGCGATCGTACTCCTTTGATACCTGTTCGGCTTGCTTTTTAATGGCCTCCATTTGCGTCTCAGCGTATTTACGAGCGGTCACCTCGGTGTCCAGTTTGGCCTTTAGAGCATCAATTTCGTCACGAAGGGCATCACTTTCGTGCTGTGGGAAAAAAGCATATTTCACAAGCTCCTGGTTCATTCTAGACAAAATAGTAATGCACTATTCAGCTCCGTAAAAGACTTTCTGGGGTTTGCCCATGGCCTCTCAGGTTTCCAGCCATCGAATAGAGGCAGAAACGGTAAATAGGAAGTGTTGCTTATTAGAAATCTGTAAAAATTTTGAAGGTTAGTAACAATATCTTCAAGACAAAATATTCAAAAGAGAAAGAAAAGTAATTGGTCATATGTTGTGGCCACTTGATTTTATCAGTCAAAGTTTCGTCTATCAAGTGGAAGCAGTAGTAAAACTCCTATACATAAAATGCCTCAAAAGGGAAGAAAATAGCATTCTATCACAAGTTGGATTTTGTGATCAGAAGGGGCGGATAGAAAGCACATGGGACATTCAGTCAACTGCAACTCCGGGAGTGGTTCGCGAAGGTAGATGAAAGTGGTTATTCAAGACGAAAAGGATGGGTATTATTATTGTTCAGGATCCATATCCCAGTTCTATAAATACAAAGGGGGAAATCTTCTCACAACAAAAGACAGGAGCAATTCCATTGCTTTTGAAATAAAGTGTTATCCAAATGTGGAACTCTTTGTAAGCACGACTAGGAATTCGAAAATCGAAGCAGAAGAATAAACGGTAAACAAGGACTAGTCAAAAACGAATGCAGTTAGACTGAACAAATTATTCTAAAGATTTTATAATAAATTTAATACGGATGAAAGAATCTGGGATGAATGGATGCCTGTTGAATGTGTAGATAGGTGCATTGACTTCAAACAAGAGAATTTGCAAGAAGCGTCCAGTGATACGAAAGGATAACAGTGACTCGCCTCTGAGGTATCATCCCGATCCCCGTCCGTGCTTGTCAACAATCGCTGTGCCGCCTCCGTCGCTGACTTAGCCTGCGCCAACGACGCCTCACCTGCCGCCGTGACACGCGCGTGATCAGCAATCAAGGTCACCAAACGCTTGAAGACGCTGAAAAGAAGAAATAGGGGTGTGATGAGGCATTTACGACCGATACACCCATCCACTCGTTGTTTCGTCTGAATGATCAACTAACTGCCGTATCTTTTCGTCTAATTTTCTTCCATCCTTCTCTCCCCTTGTTCCTAGGTCAATCCTACTTTCCATCCGGCCTTCTATGTCCACCTAAATTTCTCTTGAGCACTATCGAACTAAACGCGCCTGTTCGCCTACCTGTGTGCCCGTCTACATGGCTTCTACCATTGTTCCATATGCAAAAGCTTAATTCTAAAGCCGCACATTTTTACGAAACGACTTTTATTTTACGGCCAGTGATTTATGTTTCCAAAATCGGGGTTATAACCCCTCGCGGACAAAAAAACCTCTTCTGGTCTTGAGAGCCAAATTTCAAACCAACCTTCACTTCCAAAAATTTAAATGACAAGTCTTCCAGTTTTGAAAGAAGACCCCTTAGTTCAATATCTTCGACTCTGTGCATCGGTCACAGAACCATCGAAGGCTTAACCACAATGCTACTGAAGAATAAAGGTTTAGATACATCCAGCTACTGCCTTCCGCATGCCCACTTCACTATGTCTCTGTATATCGACAGCAAGTTGGTTGCGTTTCCAACAATAAATCGTAAAAGACAATGCATGGAAAGCACATAAGTCGCAAACTACTGAAACAATAAACGAAAAATTCGTGATGAACCGTCGAGATCTCCTAGTTCCCGAAACCATGTCAAGAAATAAGACATCATGATTGAAGTAACGAAATTTACAGGTAAGAGTACATAGGCACTTGGCTACCCCAGTACTTACACATACCAACAGATTTGGAAAATGACATCAGTTTTTGACGACACCTATTAAAAGATCCTCAAATGTTCGCAACAAAACAACTTCAACATTCTTAAAGTAATGTAAAAGAACAGACCTCCGCAACCGTTTCAAAACCAAGATAATGAACCAAAATCACAATGAGGATACTTTTTGGATAGGATGAGCGGACGAGTTCCCAATCCTAAAAATCAAATATGCTCACAGCCGGTGTACTGTAAAATGAACAACAATGATGATACGATGGAATGATGAGCTTGCATCCACTCAAGAGGACAATCACTTTCCATTAAAAGTGTTGGCTATCCACACCCAAGTGTGAAATTCGATGTGACCTCGCATCTACCAAGTAACCTGCAGTGGGGAGAGGAGGCGTAAAGCCGGAGGCTGATCCTTGTACATTTCATATGTTAATATTTTCAAGGCCTTGGACCACCGATCCTCACATTATTATGATACAAAAGAGCTGCAAGACTAGAGGTACGGTCGAGTCATGTCATATCAGAAAGGTCACGGAGGTAAAAACGTCTCTGGCTAGTCATGTAAGACGTGGCCGAGAGGTCAAATGAAGTGTTTAAGAAATGCAGTCCTTACCGACAAAATCTGAGTTCTAAAGCATTAGAAATTTGCATACACAATTCAAAAGCCTTTTAAAAAACTCTTTTACACTTTGTTGCAGCTCTACTGCTACTCAATCAACTGCTAATGCGTTTGCAGTCATCCAGCCCCTAAATTTATGCCTCCCAGCTCCCACCTTTCCCCTCAGTACAAATCGCTCCCCAAAGAGGGCAAGTGGCACCACCACTGCTGCAAATTGAAAGCCGAAACCTTTTTACAGCTAAGCAAACAAATATCATGCCACTCCGTACCATCTTCCCAAGGGTGGGTGAGTGAATGATTTCAATGCACCCGGAAATGGTTAGTGTAGCAATTGGGAGGGCCAAAGACGACGCCTAAAATTGTGAATTTGTGGCTCCATATTCTACTTGTCTGACAGCAGACAAGTGTTTCCGGAATGTTGATTTCCCCTCAAACAAATGAATCATCATTTTTAACCCAACAAAGATGAATAACGCAAAATTGTTAAAAGTTGGCTAAAAATTAACACAAAGAGAGAAGGTTACTTGCCATCCTGGGATAAAAGGAATTAAGCTGCACGAGATGAACTCAAGAAAGGAGACAGGACATTTCGAAGATAGAGGAATGGACATCAAATATTAGGTGACCAAAAGGCTCGGGCAGTTTTCATTGCAGCTTGCTGCAATGGATGGATTGGCATTGATACGCATCAATTAAACGGTACTCATTAGTGGGTTCTTCATCGCTTTCTTGAAATGATGAAATCTCATTCTAAAATGCCGACTGAACCCCGTGGATGTGATCTAAGTTTGCGTGCTTCGCGAAATGAGTTGCACTGGGGCTGGGAGCTATGGAAGCTTCCAGTAGAATTATTGAAAAACAATTGAGGAGAGCTGGTAGCAGAACAGTATACCACATACCTTTCTTTATTAGATAATAAAAAACTTCGAAGACTACCATGACCATTATACAAACGCACCATTGAGAAAAATCGTTTGCTAATTGACTGATTTGTGATACAAAATTCTGTATAGTTCAACAATAAACAGAACGAATCCAATAATTGTCATCTCCGAACAATTCACCCACTACCTCATTTTTCTAGAGCCCCACTTTATCGCAAAGGACTACGGCCGGTAAAGTGCCTGATAAACTGGAGACGCAATAAGTCACCTCAAAAAGGCAAAAATTTGACATACAAGGTGCGGAAAAAAAAATTTCACAAAAACAGTTGACAGCAGTGAGACAGTCAAAAGTGCTGCGAGATGTCACACCTTCTAGAGCAAAACCTTTCCGTGAGAAAATTTGCACTTTAGGATAAAAGATTCCTCCTCATCTCCGCCTGCCGCATTTCTCTCGTGTTGTTTAACCAAATGTTCATTCCGCCTTCTCGGCGCTAGGCAGCCACATGACCACAAATGAAATAGACTAGACACTTTGGAAATGACACTGAAGTAAAAGCGGAGGTAATCAGAGCCTCTTCTTGTACCAAAAGGGAATATAAAAGTGGAACCGACAGTAAACTCGTGTTATTTTGGCAATGGTACTTAAACTGTGCCACAAAAAAGTGCACGAATTTATCCGATTACTTCTGAGATGTTATAAAACGCACTTTTAAAAAGTAACCCGAATGACAAATAACCAAGTATTAGGGCGGGTCGTGAATGGCAAATGACCTAACTCCAAGGCGAGAACTGGGCCATTTCGGCCTCTGCGCCTGTGCATGTGCCGATATTCATTGTTTTCAATGTCATTGAGACTGCGAAATAAACAAATTTCACACCCCTCTTCATCCAAATAGCTAGGTTCGGTCGTCAAGGCTAAAAGTACCACTCGAAATCGAGGTTTAACCAATGGTAAGGTCTGGTATTGTAACATTCGCATCTACCGTCAACGAGTCCATCAAGCGGGTGGATGAATGAAATCGGGGTGGGTAACAATTGAGTGAATGAGAGACAGAAATTGGTACAATACAGAAGTAGAGTTGATGGAAACATATTAACAATCAAGTAGATCGTTGGAAAGTGGATTTAAGAACATCAATGAAACATACCGGCCTTTTTATGCGCCATTTTATTGCAGCAACACTACCCATAAACAGATATGATAAATAATGGCACAAGGATGAACTGATCAACAAGGTACCGTGGGTGTGCCTTTTCAACCGACAATATTTGCGCTTTTCACAACACTTTGGATGCAATTTCGTTCGCGTAGTGCAGGCAGTGAATCAAAACGTCAACGAACGAATAGAAACTGAATTATTTGGCGATAAGAGGGTGTGTATAGACAGCAACTTAAATGCTCAGTACCGTGAGTCCCTCAATGATCTGGGTCAGAAGAAGCTTTAATGGAGAAAGTGGCAGACACACTTACAAGTCTGAAGCTGTGATTATTTACGAACACAGGTAAAATGCCACCAAAAACACAGAAACCGTATAAAAAGGTCAACATTTTATGCGATCGCAGTGAACGAGGAAGTTTCTTAGTGATTTAAAACCGATAAATGACTGCTGTTGGAGAGGCTTCGGGAAAGCTGAATATGATCCATGACAGCCATGAGTTCAATAGAGTAAGCAATATGGTCGTTGGACTACCAGGCAGGTGCAGGAAGGAGCATGAGAGAATTAAGAAGCATATTTACAGTGATTCACGTGCGCAATTGGCCGATGAATGTACAGCACAGAGTAGAGCACGCTAATCGACGGTTTGAGGCCAGGGCCCTTTAAATAATAACCCCTTTGATTATCAGTAGTTGTTCCAAAATTTCTAAGAAGCTTGTAACCCGCAATTAAGAAATCGGAGTCAATTTAAACAATCAGCAATCTCAATTTTGCATTGGCGACCTAGGCGACACTGATGGAAGAATTCAAGGAAAATATTGACAAATCCAAGTAAACATCAACCGCACCCAAACCGAAGAGAAACTCACAACCAAAAAATATTAAAGATAGTGAATGGATAAGAAGCAGAGCGAATAAATCGAACACCATAGATTCACCTGAACTGCAACACCAAAGAGGTATGAAGACCACAAGTGACGGCGATTGAAGATCTTTCTTTGAACGATTTTGTCCACCTACTCCTCTCGCAACTAACGCCAAGGTGGATTTAAACGAATACAGAAACGGTCCAACAGTTTGATCAAAAGAGGATTAAATTCTAAGAAATTAACTAAAAGTGCATAGTTGGAGAAAAATGAACGAAGTAAGCGCTTTATTTTAAAGTGAGTATCGAGTGCTATAGTCTACTTTTCAGAAAACAATGGAACGTATACAATAGAACTATCTCAACTGCTGTGTAATCATAGCAGAATCTTAGAACGTGATGCTGGAAGATACTAAGAACGTTGAACTCACAACCACAAGAAGAGACAAAATCCCGAAATATAGAGATTCCGTTGAGCCCTGAAGAGTTTCATGAGATAAACTGACTCCGTTTCAGGTTTGAAGATGCTTGGATCGGACTTCAGTTCTTGGTAGACATGGTTTTGATATCTAACTTGTCTCACAGCCTCTAAAAATAAATGGAGTCGTTAGTGTGAAAACAATTGTTCAACCAACGAATAAACGGTTGCGTACCGAAGACCATCAAACCAAGAATAAGCAAGCATCCATTGAAGTAAAAAGAGGCATACGAAGAAAGCCTGCCGACTATGCGAGACTTAAAAACAGCATTCCATCTAAAATAAAAACACCAAAAGATTAAGACAAAGAAGCGAATAAAATAGGGGCTATTTACGCTCGACATGCAATACATTCTGGAGGAAATGAAGGGCATCAGAAGGAGCGTAATGACAGCTGCCTCGGTGTACAGACAAGCCGCAGTGATTGTCCAAAGGATTGACATTTTTGACTGCAAATACGAAAAAGTGCGGCTAAACATCTGCACATGAAAATACAGTTGATGGAATCACAAACCTAATAGAAAGCTAAAGCCCCAGATTATATACGGTAGTATTTCGAAAACGCAGAGAATATACTTTGTGAAGGAGAATGAGCTTATAGAAAATGCACCAGATCGTGACAGAAAAGGACGTACCCCCGGAAAACAAACACAACCTCACACGACAAACTATGTTTGAAATATGCTGGCAAATAAAGCGTATATATACAAATGAGTACACGTACCCTACATAATTCAGCCAGTCTCAAAACGTCAATAAACAACTAAAACGTACAATAGCAATATCTTGAAATTTTTTAATGTTGCTTATTTTATCTTCCAAAAAATTTGACATCTGTGCAATCATAAAAAATGGTGCAGAATTTTACCAGAGTAGCGATTTGACGGTGTTTTTTAATTAGTTGCTACGATTTTTGTGTTTTATTGTACCTTTCATGTAAAAATTTTGGGTGCATTGACAATCAGCGTAAAAGTTTGATAAACTTTTCAACTATGTTTAACCACGCAGGAGCTTCTACCTTAATATGTTGTATTTTTCCACTGTGGCATGGATCTCTAGATAAGTCTAGACTTTCCAGACCAACCTATAAGCTACTAATGAATCTTTTTCTCGTTGCTATTACAAGACACAGGTTGATTATTCCCATAGATGACAAGTTTTCAGTTCACATTGAACTCTTGACTGGACGGATATCATTAGTCTCCAGGGCGGAGACGGACTCTAACTTATCAAAAACTCAGAAAATTTGCAAACCTTGCTCCTACTACTCAAATACAAGCTGTCCCCTTTCTCTGAGTTTAACGGTCTTAAGTGGGTGGTGGCCGAATTTGTTGTATTATTAGCAACTACGACGGACCATTCGCATTTTAGAACACACCAATCTCTAAAAAGCGGATCAACAGCCTCAGATTTAGTTTTTGGCTCCAGCTTTAGCCTCAAAAGTCCCAGTACATCCTTCTATCACTGCCTCAGAACCTCAACAGTTCTAATCCAAGCTCGCAGAACTACATTATATACAATTATTGGGATCATATTTTCATGTGGGTTTATAAGTGATTTGAATTTTTCAAAATGCACCTCTTTTATCCACCAGCGCTCTAAAGCAACAGCGATATTTTCATCACCTAAAACAAGTGTCTGTTTATTTTAAATGGTCTACTAGAAACGGCAGAAAATCCTTTCTGCAACCCGAAAAACATTTGTACACACCTTCTTTGCGTTATCAACAACTAGAATACAAAATGGCAAAAGACGCTTGTTAGGCATAGTATTAAACTGGGAAGAGCGTACCATGGTTCCAGCTAGGGCTACGCCACTTTGGCAACCACGCAAGTTCTTATCATTCATACTGCTAGGTAGACAAACTGTCTCGTCGCCGTTCCCCAAGGAGGCGTCGATTTCTGGCTCCTCACAAACTAATGATAGTCTGCAAATCTTCCCCGTAGTATTCAAATGCAAGCTGCCCTCTTTTGTTCAATCTTCTCGATTCAAGGATCCAAAGCCGGAGGTGGGGGGGGGGGGGGAGGAGAAATGTCTAATTTGCTATCGTAACACCTACCTTGAAAAGGCCCTGCAGGCGTTCTTGGTTGTCAAGCTAAATCTGTGCAATTCTGGCTGTGATTATCGCCAACAAAAGTCGGCTGAAGAGTTTATAGGTTTTTGAATGCAAGGTCTTGGTAGTCCACATTAGTAACATTTTTTATGTATCTTCGGCTTTTATTTCAAACAATGAAAACCATCACTTACTTACCGTAACAAAATGGTAGTCAAGGACAGGAAAACACAAAAACATACGAGAACTGAGAAAATGAATGAAATAAAGAAGTCGTTGCTTCAATGAAAGCATTGTCACAGGTCCATTTCACTCATCTGAATGGGTAAACTTGACAACCATCGACTACGGCTGTGCGACGTCCTCATATGCCGGTGGTGGATACGACGGTGGCGGCGCAAATGGTGGAGGTATTTCCAAGTCTGGTGGTGGTGGAATCATTTTTTCACACCTCTCCTCCTCCTCATTATTATTATTGTTCCTCCCCGCACCAATGCTGACGCCAGCTGGCGGAGCGCTTGGAATCGGGTGTGGCCCTGAGTTGCCTTCGGCGTTAGGGATAACCCTGTTACCACTATCTTCACGTCTTAACTCTTGACGATTTGCTTGTGGTTGAGGACGAGTCTGATGATCCGAGATTCTTACTACACCACGTTGATGTCTGACTCCGTCTTTGGGTTGGCGTGGATACGGTTTCTAGAAATGAGTCAATTTTACTGATTGTTTCATCATAGAAAAAACGCCCATTTATTATGGAATGTGATTAAATTGCCCACAAGTCGCCATCCAGCCTTTGCTGAGGCTTAGAGCGTTGACAATTTAATAGGCTAAATTTTGCTAATTTTTGACGATGGCATTCGCCTGACAACGATTACTCACAGCTTGCAGGGCGTCAGCAGATTTGGGCCGATAGACCTTTGTCTCCGAAATAGCACGAATAAGGCGAAGAAGGAGATTTCCTGTTATTACAGATGTGATGAAGCAGGCGATGGCCAGTGAGATTAGAACATAACCAAATATCACTAAAGAACTAAAAAATTGGAAGAAACAAATGTTACTTAATAGTTAACAGTACAAAAGATATTTTACCAAGAATTATTTTGACAATGGACTGTGTTGATCACAATGTGCGCCCACTGTAAAATACTATTCAGGATATGGTACAACTTCTCATTGTGGGTTTTCCCACAGGAAGGAGGACAGCTAAACTCCACGAAAGTGATGTATAGGCGACAATATTGCTTAAATTTCATGTCGTTTGATTTACGCACCTGTTCCATAGTTTATTTTAGTCCATTCAAATGCTTTTACACAGGTTAAATTCAATGATTGATCAGGGAAAACGTTAAGGAAGTCATTGAAAACCTGAAGGTAATACATTATGATTGTGCTTATACGATTTTAAGTAAATTTTAATAGATTAAAAACATACTAATTGTAGCGGCCAGGATCAACTAACACATAAATTCCAACGGCCAAAATTACTACCGCAATAACCCCTAAGAGAGAGAAAGCAAGCTTCAAGCTTTTCCGGAATTTGTCACGTTTAGCTAAATCGTCCGAAGATAGAGCTGTTGGCAGACGAGTAGATGTAAAGGGCATTGATCTAAAAAACAATTAATGGGAGAGCTGATTGCCTGGGTTAGTTATTTAGGCCCAGGTCATATGCAACTTGTTGTCTTTTGATAAAATTGGTTAATAATCCCATTAATTAACATTATTTTGATTAGCTTTAGCAAAATTTTCCTCAACGTTAATTTAACCATATGGAAATACGCCTACTTTAGAAAAATTTCTCCCAGGGCATGAGCGAAACAAAGAGCGAGTTGCTTAAATGCCTACACGACTACGTCACTCATGCCACGAATTTGGCAAGGACTCGGAAAGCCATACTGATAACACCAGCAAGCGAACCCGATATAAAAGGACAATTAGATTTTATGAATGTTGCCATAGTTTCGGATGGCAGAGGATGACCATCGACTGCAGATGGCTAAGTCTGCAAAGACTTCCAACACAAGGGCAAAAATGACGTATTCGCTCGGAAATTACTCCAGTCTCGCTTTCCTCATGAAGACAATTAACAAATGAAACGACTTTAATTGGCATTGTCCTCCTATGGTCATGCAGTGGCATGAAGTACGCCCTCGTTATGGAGTACCGTCCAGCCCTGACTGGTACAAAGCCAGTACTCTTCTCCGCCCGCTCACGCCCCCCCCCCTCACTCTGAAAGCTAGGAGGCACTGAAATTGCCGTGTTGCATCAGCAACCACCACAAATAAGAAGCTTGGTGATTATTTTTTAAAGCACCAACTACGTTCTGACAGCTGATGCCAAAGATTGACCAGGCGAAGTATCAAAGACGACGCTCAAAAGAAGGGGAACATGTACCAAGTTGATATTTTACTTAACCACGTGGGCTATAATGTTCTCGTGGATCACAACTTCACCCTTCAGCCAGATCTGTAACATTCCAGCTACTTTGCATGCCCGTTAATAACAATCCTCCTTCGTGGTTAATGTAGCTCACCACAACCGCAGTGATGACGCGAGGAGCTGGACTTAGGCTTTTGAATACTGCCCTAGATACATTTCGCCTAATTCATCTATTCAGTGTAAGAAGTGTGATCTTCCTGAGAATACTAGTATTTGGTGTCTTTCTTAAACAGCACTTCCCTTCATTGTCACTCAAATCCATTGCTGTGGTTTTACCTCTACTGGTGTCGAAGGATTTGAAAAAATCGACGAAGTGGAAAAAAAAACAGATTCCACATTTGAACGAGATCAAATCAAATATGCTCGGTGGTTCAACATCCGCCTGGAAAATAGCTGAAAACCACTTTAACACCGCAAATTATGGATCATTGTACCACGGTGACAGAGTGAATGCTTGCCAATATGAGCGCATTAAATGAACACCTCCACACTACTGAAGTCGTGCTTAAGTAGGCCGCTATTCCAAACAAAGTGAAGAATGCACCATACTCCGATTAGAAATTCTACTGAATCAAACCCCCACTAGGCTAAAGAATCACTGCAATACTGTCACGATAATCTGAGGTGAACCAACTCAATGACGCATATCGTCCACCCCGCGGCCCGTAAATCAGAAACGCATCCCTGCCCAAGACGGTACGCCCCTCTTCCTCCATCTTGAATGTTCGCAACGTACCAGCCTAGCACACCACAGTGACACACGCACCTCCAAATGACTACACTAGGCGTAATTCCAAATAAGTGGGTTAGAAATGCATCCAATTTGGCCGGATTGTTGTTAGCAGGTGCGCAATGAACGATTTAGATGAGCGGCGAAGCGTTAGGTCAAGGTGAATGCAAGCACGTCAGGTAGGGAGGGGGGGAAAAAAAGAGAAAGACTCGTATATCTATTCATTTTTTCCCGTTGATAAATCTTTGTGGAGATACGAGGAGATAAAGAGAATTTGTACAGTGGAAATCTGTTCACTATTTCTGCGGTAGATTGCATGAGGCGAGTGGGGTGCGAGGAGGTGGTGATGGTTCGGGTACAGCTCTGAAATGGAAGGGAGGCGGAGTAGATTTAAATGAAAATTTAACAATTTATTAAGAAAGGTAAATCAGGGCATGTAAATGTGGCGGTTGCACCAAATCGTGCCTAACGCGCAGATAGGTGTAGTTTAAACAACAAAGTAGACGCGGAATTTTTTATGGTACAAGAATAATTACTTCCAAATTCAGGTAACAATTAGTGGGGTTGGCCAGTTCGGTGGAGCAAGCATTACCGCCACAATAGAATAGCAGAATGTGTGGGATATGGCGACCGCTTTTCACCTGAGACCCTAGGGGTGGTAAGCATGCTAGCTGAGGCATGACAAGAAGCGGGTAGTTCCACGTTTTGCTGTCTGGGAAAAGGTCACGAGGATCCAACGAACTTGAAAGTATGAATTCGCCAAGTGGTTGACAGCTATCACTTTTTGAGATTCCTTTTCAGCCAATAAATATTTTTGCTAGGCCGGTAGAGATTAGGGCTAACCAACTAACGGCGCATTGTTGTTCGAAGAACTAACGAACAAGCGAGGTGTGCCTGGTGAGGCGAGGATTTGGCTCGTTAATGAATGAATGTGAATTGGGAGACTCCTTCTAGGGGGCGAGCTCAACTTGTGTTCGGTCAAGCAAACAGACTGGCTGCTTACCGGGCGAGGGACAGACCCGAGATGAGGGCCCAAGGCTGTGGGGCTTAATTATGCAAGGACAAATGATTTAACAATCACTTCCGTCAGAGAAAGTCATTCGAATTCGGTGAAAGCATAACTGACTTCAAGAAAAGACCATGACTATGCCACACGAAAGTCCACCGATCAAATGATCAGGTCAACTTGAGTTCATGCAAATAGGGGGAAAATTAAAGCAATGGAAACATGATAAATTTCTTGTCAAAACTGTCAAAACAGGCAGGAGAAGAAAAGCAGTGAGTTGTCCTACATGGGTTCCGTCATATCAAATGACAAATCAGAATCGACAGTAAGCATTGACAAAGAACCAAGCGAGAAGCATGAGATGCGTGGATAGTCGTCAAAAATTTGCCAGTCAAATGAACAAATGCCGTAGGCTAAAACTGGTTGACGAGCGGTTCGAAATGCGAGATCCCTGCGGGGGTGGATACAGGAAACAAAAGGGTTTAACGGATCCGGAATGAAAGAAGTGATAGGGGATGGAGGGAAGAGCGGACGGTGAGGCGACAGATTAGGATGAGGGGAGGGGATGAGCAGGGGTGAATGTGCTCCAAAGAAGTGGGGAGACGGATCTGAGGATGGATGCGATTCAAACAGAAGGCCAAATCAAAGCTGCGATGGGTATAGGGATCGGAAATGGGGGAATAAACGAATGAGTGACGGGTGAATTGAGGGACAAGGAATAGATAAGTGGATCAGTGGATGGACGAATGAGAAAGCTACGGAAATGAGTTAAACAGAAGGCATAAGCGATTGAGCAAACGGATAGATTCAAAATGGAAGACTACCGAATTAAAAACGGGTGGATCAGGGACAAACTTATTCGGATTCAGTGAATAAAAAATCCCGAATGAGTGAACAGATCCGAAACAAATTAGTCAAGTGATAAACAGATGTAATATGAATAAACAAAGGAATGAAAATACGGGTAGGTGAGTAGACTAGGAATAGACAGAAGTGGAAAATTCGGAGATCTATTAGAACAAGTGAAAGATGAATGAAAGGAACAGAGATACAGTCAAGTAGATCAGAAGGGGATGGACAATTGAGGAATGGATGAATAGAACAAGAATAGACGAATGAAGAACAGATGAAGTAATTAATGGCTAGATGGAAGGACAAAATACCAAAAGTGGGTTGCCATATGGAAAGATTTTGGACTGATTAACTGGAATATTTGTAGGGAGGTAAGCAAAACGATTACATCCAAAATGAAAGCAGATTGAGAAATAGCAAAAACATGAACCACTGCACTCACGTCACAGAAACAACACAAATTGGCGACCAAAGGGACCAGTCGCACAACCATACGATCTACTTGAACAATGCCGCCACCAGAAAGCGCACGACCCTCAGCCCGAAGTAGATAGTAATCAATCCACCAAGGAGCGCCTGCTGTTGCTCCATCGTCCGCAGACGGGAGGACAGCCGACTGACGTAGGCTTCCAGGTGACTTAGCCTCGACTCCGCCGTGCGGAGTCGTTCACTCACACTGCGATGATTTCCACTGTTGCTATGCGCAACCTGAATGGTAGCGGAGGCTGTGGCGTTGGCTGTTGCCGTAACTTGGGTTGAACTGATAGATGAGGAATACTACTTATTATTGAGCATCAGTAGACCCACAAATCCTGCGAAAGTTAGCCTTTTGAAGGAGTATATTGCCTAGTAACGTAAATATTGGTAGCATTATCATCACAGCAGAGGGAATGAACGATACCGCAGGATATGGCATAGATCAGATATAAACAGTTCCGTCAGTGATGCAAGAATCGAATAGGAAAATGGATATGAAATGACCATTATGCCATTAAAAGAAGGTGAGCAGGACAACAGAATAAACAGTCTTGGAGGAAAGGGTCACACACACACACATGCCACACATAAGCGCATATAAGTGCCTCTGCAAAAAATTTGCAGTAACACGTAGCAGAATGATGTTTGCTTCGACTGGTCGGTCTCCAGGCTGGTAGTGAGGGGCTCCGCAAGTAGCCGCCCAGGCCTTTAAGCAGGCTACCCTCACACTGAGCCATGCGAGTGCTACAATGGAGGTAATAAGCGGATCTATTCGAATGACGTAGAACAGCACACATGCCGTAAATGGCTGAATCGGTGGGTAGTCAGATCAAAAGGGTTAGTGGAATCGGGTCGATTGTGTGAATGTAGAAGAGGCGGAGGCAACAATCATATAAAACTCTCTGGTGGTAATTGCGAACTGAGCAGAATGGAGAAGTAGTGGCAAGGGGAAGTGAGTAGCTATTGCCATTTCACGAAGCTACTTAAAACCATGCCGTTTATCGAATGGCCTTAGAGAATGATGATGCCAATTTACTACCACAGCACCTTAATTCCTACCCTGGAAGACAGGTGATAATCCACCACAGAAGAATAATCACAGGGAGCGCTGAAGATGACGATCAAGGCGAAAGCTACGTAGTAGAATGATACGTTCACAGCGCCCAGCGATTCGACTACCGCGATGAGGGAACGTGGTTCTGCTACTAATCTCTCAGTTCTTCTACGCAAGTTCTTGACAAAGCCACCTCCCAATTTATATGATCAATGCTATCTTCAGATATAGCACCGGGAATAACAACAACAACAACTCCTACTGACACTTCAGAGGAGACTATTAAGATGTCAAGTAATGAGTATGAGCAGTTAAGTAAATAGACGGGTAATCGATGGAGATTGCCAAAGGCAACAAGGAACTAGCCCCCGGATGTAACGCAAATCCACTCACGAATGGAAATGCGTAACTACATCAGAGACCACCGATTGGAAAGGTGATATCATATGCATTTCGGGAGAATCACCGTTTCTCAATAAGCAAGAAGGTGAAATGAGCTAACAGACTTAATCACAAAGCAAAACAAATAAACCAAAAATTGGCAAGAGCATAAAAACAAGTGGCACGGTGAGCATCACGTGCAGATGCCAAGCGTGCGGACTGCAGGATATGTCCTAGGCACGCCTGCAGAAGTGCAACAAAACAGCAAAAGGTAAACATGTCTTCAGCTCAAATTGTCAAGTTGGCCTCTTGACATCAGTAGGATAACTGAAACTTCAAGGTAGTCTACTAATCAACACCGTACGCATCTCTAGTATTACCTTACCAACCCGTATTATACCAGATCAGGCGATCAAAAAAGATGGTGGGGCACTCGGTGTGACTTTCTGCAATGACTTAATTTAAATTATTCATGAGAGCATTTACGCTTTATGATGGAAAAGAGACTATGTTTCTCCACGTCATCTGTATTTCCCGCATGTTTTTTGTCAAAAGAAGGAGTATTATCATCGGATTTGCGTCAGGGAATGACATGAGAAGTAAAACCAAGAGAGAGAGAGGGACGGAGGTCGCTAAAGCAAGGCCCACTTTGACTTCTAGAGCCAAACGCCTTACCTAAAATGCAGCAAAATTTGAGGCAAGCTTGCGTCTCATTGGAAAAGGGGTGTGGATCATAATGGTGGAAATTTCAGTGGCTAAAATACTTTAAGAATTTTCCTGCCATTATTTAACCCTATTACAAAGACCCTCATTAATTTGGAATTCAAATACTGCATTGGTAAGGTACGCCCAACTCCGCTTACCTCTTGCTAAAAATATGATGGTTTTCATTAATGCTTCGAGTGTGTGAGGGCTTTACAAAGGAAAAGTGCTTTGCAGACTCACAAAAGAAAGACTAGGAAACCCACATCAAGTGTATGGAAGCCAGTACACTTTCACGATCTGGTGCAACGCCAGTATCGAGCGAGTTGTAAATACTTATAGAAGAACCGCGCATACTGTTCACATAAGAGCATTAAACTAGGGATAACGTTAGAAGAAAAAGCATTTCTCCATGTTGCAAGAGATTGACGACAGCTAAGAGTGGTACCGAGATCGGGCCAAAGGGGAAACGAGGAATGACGGCAGTGTGTAGCTCTAAAGCAAAACGTCGCATTGCTCTTCAGTCTTTAAGCTTCAAGGTATCATAAAACCAAAGACGAGTGAAGGGCTTGTAAAGCCTCAATGGGTAACTCACACCATAGTAATGGCAGTGCACTAAGTCATCTGAAAATCCGCATGATGAGAGGAATGTCTGCTGAGGACGACCAAGCTTACAGACACTCAAAACATGCCAACATATGACAAGTATTCCAACCCCAAGTTCGTTCTGTATAGAGTAATTGAACGAGGCCTGGGTTTGACCTATTAAAACTGTCCGTTCGACATTGACGTAAAATTGGTAAACTTTTAACAATATGAAACCTCTCAAAAGTAAAGGGAATTGACCATAACACGGATAAGAAGTTGGGTGGTATCAAAGTGGCAATGAAAAAAAGACAAAACACAGTAACTGGCGTATATCTCCAAGCCTACGAAACCTCTAAAAGTTAACCTCAACAATGGGTTTCGTGAACAGGAAATGGGACGAATAAAGTCCATCTATTGGAATCATCACTGCCACTGTCATTCTTGTCACGGAGGCAGTCCAAATTCACGGTATTCATTGGAGGCGGCAAGGAGAAATTTAGTCCACAATGACTAGAAATCGGTCAAATACAAGTTTCAATTTCAATAGAGGAAGCAATTTCCGGTTAAATGACAGGAACTAACTCCACAGTAGGTCCAGAGCACGCTTAATGGCAGACCAGATTCCAGATAAAAGTGTTGATCAGAGTACCTTTCACTCAATCGTTGACTGACTGAGATTCCAATCGTCATAGGTGGGTACACCCCAAAGGTGTGTCTAGGACACACCTTTTTCCTGCACTCTAAGTGCAAACAAAATTATTTCAAATAAACGCAAATGGAGCTAAATAAGCAAGTGAGCTAATAAGGCCAAAACGTAAAAATCTGTTTAAACAAATTCTGCCATTAAAATAGAATTGGAGGTTCTGCGAGTTGGGGCAGTGGGAGCATACGTAGAGGAAAAGATATTCAATTAAACACTAAAACAGTCATTTTCAGGCCATCACAGATCCAAAGATACTAGATATTATTAAACAAATTGGTCCAAATAAAGTGCTACCTGGTTGGGTGATTTTTTGTAGAGCAATATGGGGTTAGGCAAAAATGGCCTCAAATCCTTATAAGTATATCCAACTTAGCAATTACGAAAATAATGACATTATAATTCAGGTTGTAAGAAAGGTTCAGAAACGACTACGGTTGCAAATAATCGTGTATCGAATAAAATCAGTGGTTAAAACTGAAATTCACCGAAGTTATCTTGAAATAAGCAATCTGTCCAGGCAGAGTTACATGTGACTAGGTTACACAAGCTACATACGAACACTTGATTACAGCGAAAGAAGGGAAAACGGAAGTAAAACGACATAAATAAGATAACAGACAAAATAAACAACATATTCTCAAGATGCAAATTACAGGCACATAAAATGTGGCAAATACCATGGGTAAAAATACAGCATATATACCAAAACCACAGCATTTGTACACATTGCACAAAGACAAACTATCGGAACAAACCAAAACAGAAAATTGAAAAAGCAAGTCATGGATACAAGAAATAGAAAAGCAAAATATCTTGTAGAATTAGAGATTGTGGAAAAGCATTGAGACACGAATAAGGCGATATTTCTGTTAGGGATTAATTATAGGAGACTCAATGCTTGATACTTACGGGATAGTTCGCGCTGCACCATCAATAAGAAGATCTGGACTATAACCAGGCGTATTTTCAGGATGCTCAGCTTTACAGAGACCTACAATAAATAACCAAACCTTCGGAAGAGTTATTTTAAATCTAACTTTGGTCAGGATAGTGGACTTCTTTCAATGTCGAGTCAGTAAAACCTAGATCCGGAAGGGAGGATGCAACTGATAGTTTATCAGGCACCCTCATTCTTTGATTGATATCGTTCTTGTACTCCCATTCATACTTTGAAATAAGAGGAAGCTGAAGCGGATCCATTAATACAGTCCTGACCCAATGATTGGCTAGTCTTCGCAACTCATAAAAATGACATAGTAATGAACGCTTTAAACAATTACAGACGACTTAAATATTTGCAAGTTATTTCCACAAAATGTCTCGTACATTCTTATCAAAATGTGTTAGATTAGGCTGCGAATTTTAATTGCATGGCTGGGAGAGGAATGTAATTGACCAAAACATTTGCCATCTACAATAATGTCGAAACAAAGTATTTCTTATGATTTTTAACAATTGTGATGCTTTACTTGCTCTAAATATGAATCCATTCTGCTGTAATAATACAATTATCAGCACCGATAAGCCAAGGCATATTACTACGTTCTGAGACTTCCCTGAAGTGGAAAGTAGTCATAATGCTCTGGCAGAACAAGAGGCCTTGAGACCTACTGGCATAGTCCAAAGGTCATGTCCCCAACAAAGGTGGAATAGTGTAGCCTCAGATGGTCACCATCAAAATCAAAAATTGAACAAATAGTTAAAGTATTTCAGCATAATCCGACGAATAGCCGAATTTTTCCAAGATTTGTTTTTATGAGAATAAAATAAAATGGTTATTGACTGCTCTTATTAACCTATACACCCTTGTTTAAGTTTATCATGCTTTTTAAGTAAACATGATTTCCTCCTAACTGGGCCTTGACATTCGCCAAGAATTAAGAAGTCATTATCGTTTTGTGATGATTGAAAAAATGAACTTGTTATTTGGGCTTACCCTGCCTGTTTCGCCTGGAATGAAGCCAAACCACGCTTAATCTACTTGACCCAATGCCATGGATTTGCATATTCAGCTGGTAACCTTTAGCAATTTTGAGGAGGCAATGCGTGGGTGCATTAAAACTCCTTACTTTTTTTAAAACCTTGTTGATTTTTTATTTCCTCAATTTTTTTCTTAAATTTTAGCTATGGGAATCCTTGAAACCAGGTCCCATAATGTGGCTCACTCCCCTTCGCATTGCTTTTCTTGAAAACTAAAATTCTTGAAAACTATTATTGAAAACCATTCTTGGAAACCAAAACAAAACCTTCATCGACTGGGATGTAATGGTAAGAAAATATTGGCTTATTTGGCCATCTAACCATCACCTTTAGATTGTCACCTCAAATCTGCTTTGTAACTTTGCACGAATCTAGTAGGTGGCACCTTCCCGATCTCATTTTCCATTTCCACTTGAAATTGAAGTGCCATTATCCCATGTCTTCATAGAACGCCGCTAAAGACTGGTCAATCCTGGTGCCTTTCGTCAACCCATTGCCTCGCCGAGGCCACGTGCCATAGGTGCATTAAACATGGGTAGGTATACTGTTTGCAGGTACCTGCGATTGCGTCATGTTGGTGTGATGTAAATCCGCCTTAAACTACACGACGCAAAGTGGGGAGTAGAAAAAAAGGTCATCCAAATGGAGGCAAGAGTTCAGATTATAATTCAAAATGCAATGAATTCTTTCTTCCTACATATAAATAACAATAAAAATACAGATAGAGACATACAACCAGTCAGCCAGATGATGGGTAGGTAGAAAAGAGTTGATAAAAAGGGGAAAACGGGACTCAACCTCTCAGCTTCCAGAGCTTTCGTCACAGCTATCCTCAGAATTTACCCGTAGGTCACGATTTCTGGCGTCCATCCACGCAAAATCGCTGTTATCGGTCACTGTTGAAACTGTATCCAAGGCCTCAATTTCATTGGTCACATCGAGAGGAGGGCAACTTCTGCTCTTGAAGACTGTATGTCCGGGTCCGGGCAGAGCGATAACCATCATTCGCACCGGGTCTCGGTCGCCTGGTTGACTGGTCACTGGGGGCAGGGCATTGGCTTGGTTGCCGTTATTCTCAACTGCATTCGTGGCATCGGTAGGTTCATTGATGGTATTAACTGAATTCGCGTTGGTGCCGTTGATGACAGTGTCGTTCCTTGGCAGAGGAATCTTTTGTTTCCGATTCCTCGTAGCATTTAGCCAGTAACGACAACACGCTGACATTATCAAGCTTAAAATGCGGTGCCCGGTGTATTCTTTATACTCAAGGTGGCAGCGCGTGCGTGTGTGCTGTTTTGATAGCCAATGAGAGTTGAGTGTGCTAGCTACTCTTCGCCAGTCAATAGCATTTGGGCTGCGTGGTTACTAATTCCAGAGGATGAACCAATCATATGATTGGATCCTTGAATAGCTCATCGGTTTCGTTACACCTGAGAAACATTCTCGTGATTTTTTTCAATGGGTTTTTTCCGTTCGTTATAACTTGAAGTTGACTGCTTTTTGTTTGAAGCAAAATTACAAATTAAAAAACATACGTTTCAATTTCTAGATCGAGATACTCCCTCCCCGGTTCTGCTTGAGCGGATGCAACCATTTAATCAGGTTTACAGACCGCCAATATCTCGAGGTTGAAAAAAAGAACGCAACAAAAATTGGGCGCGTAAGCTTAAATTGCCCTCGTAGGGATGTAAACTTTAGGAAAACCGCAAAATTTATTGAAATGATAAGAATGGCCGGAACTGCAAGCGAACGAACAATGGGAATGTGCGTCAACAAAGTGTGTGGGCAGAATTTCAACACATCTGCTGATCACCTTCTACTTCAACCATGGGTTCAGCCACCTGTTCTGACGCGGTGTCTTCAAATGCAAGAAAAATAGCGACGAATAGACTTGGCAACCCAAATTGCAAGAGTAAGCAATATGTCGAGTTTACGGTGATACGTGATTAACCCAAACGTTTAAACACAGGGGCTATTCTTTGGGGGATAGAAAAACGCTGCTAAAAGTCAATGCAGAGGGTGATTTTCTCGTCCTTGACTCATTCTAGTGAGCAATGGGTGAGGTTTTTAGCATACGCCCATCGTGATAGTTTATCAGAAGCCGGGCTAAGTACACGCATGCAACGTCTACCAATTTTCCAGGGACTGGAGTAACCTGGACCCACCCAGTCCTGGTATAGGGCTAAATTAAATTATTAAACTAAACTGGGTTTTTAACATGGCATAACCACTTAAAGCGTGTGTGAGCCGCAATTTCAAAGGCTTTATGACAACTGAAACACCTCCATTTAAATTAGTCTGACTAACATGCATTTACAATAGAGTGCCCTCGTAGGCTATTTATGACCTTTGATCACTTTTATCTATGAACCCATCCAGTAAGTAATTTTAACTACAAAAAGTAAATTGAAGTGTGTTATAAACCACTTGTTTAGTACAGTTGATCTTTTGTCGGAAAAGTTGGAATGAAACATTCGTGTAATGTAACTTAAAACGTATTCTTTCAGAAAATTATTTTTGTTCAGCAACTTTTCAATCCCTTCTCGGCACTCATTTTGGATAGGCTTGGCTTTATACAACAATTTACACAGCGTGAGAAGACAAACATGAGATGTGGATTGCTAAGACAGGCACAACAAATGAGTTTTTGATTATAACACGAGCATATGGATGTGGCGGATTCTCCACTGGTAGTCGTAGATACGGGATCTCAGAATCGAAGAAAAGAATCAAAGAATCAAGAAAAGCACCAAGTTTTGATTAAAAAGAAACGTATCGTCAAATCATGGAAAATTTCAACAAAAGATCATTATTACTTGTGAGCATATCACACAGCAGCAGAAGAGACTTGCTTTCATAATAAATGGAGGCAAGGTCAACCCTACACAAGTATGGAGGGTTCAGTAGCAATTTGGACTTGATGCAAAAGTTATGAAACACATTGTAATATCACAGGGAATTTTGCATTCTGTTGAAGTGTGGATAATACAAGGCAAGGATTTTTTAATTTTCATTAGACTAAGAGTAGCAAAATTGCAAAGCACAAATCGGTGCCAATTTAACCAACCAGAGGTTGATCATGCACGCATGAATGCAGTAGCCAGATAGGAACGTACTCTTTGAAGCTGGTGACACTTGAGTATGATTTTTCGTAACCACGTGGACAGGATCATCTAACAAAGTATCGCCTTGCGCCTCTCGGCTGCTGACAAGAGCTTCCAACTGTCCGGTTATGTTGCAAGAATAGAATTTTTCTAAATGTGCGGCCCTGCAGTAAACAACAACTGTTTTTTAATTAGCATGAGAAATTTCTCTAAGCTCTCAGTATGGAAACTTCATAATGGTGTTACAAACTCTCCTATCGGTCTCTTAACACGTCGAGTATTTAAAATTAAGTTACTTTTGGGATTTGATGACTCTCAATCCATTGGTGGTGGAATCAACTGTCTTTATGATTTTTGTTTTGATTACGCAAGTGTTCCTGGTCTCCCCAACATCGATGACTTGATATTCGTTTCACATAGTGCAGAATACTAGACTTCTTTCCAGCTTTGCTTAGCTAAAGAATAGGTGCTCATTGCTACTTGGTAGGCATGTTTCAAAAATTTTATGACGCAACGTCTTCAAGGCTTAGCCTAAGCCCTGTTGTGCAATCCATTACACTTACAGGTTTACGATCACCGCTGGAAACGTGACCAACTCTTTATTGCGTTTCACCTGGCATCGCCAATTTTCGACGAAGTTTCTTAAAATACCATTTTTTTGAATGTAATTTTCGTAGCTGTTTATACGGTCGCGATACTCCTCCAACAGGATGTTTTTCTCACTTCTCATCTTTTCACCGGCTTTGTCGATTTCTGCAAGTGTCTTATTTAACGATTGGATGCGCTGTTCGACAAGTTCGTTGGCTTTTGACAGTCTATATGGCAAAAGGAGAAAGAAATTGGCAAAAAGGTATGAGATCAACTTACTGTTCTGTTTGTTGCATTTCACGGTAAATTGTTTTTTCTAGGCGCTCAATGTCAGCTTGGAGTTGATCATTGCTTTGTTGGATCTCGTTGTTTTGTTTGATGAGTTCTTGTTGGCGCACTTTAAAATCTGCAAGATCATTTTGATATTTATGATTCATCTTTAGGTTAGTGAGCTTTACCTAAAATAAAGTGCTCAAGACTAATACTAATACAATCTAGTTTTAAAACATAACCAAACTCTGACTTTTCTAAAAGAAATGCCTTAGTTTTAAAAAGAAACATTTAAGCTAACTTTATTATTTGTCCTAAGGCTGAAAAAAGACTTACCTGCTTATATGTACATTAAAAATTAATTTTTAAGGTCAGTACGGAACCACATTTCTAATACTAAGACACTGCATGAAAAACGTTTGGTATAAGGAAGCTTTTGTAAATACCTACTTGCGCCCCTTGAAGCAACACATAAACCAGTTATAAATATCACAAGGCGAAACTTTGTTAGCACACAAATTTTAATCTAATCAGGCTATAAGGGCAAACATCCAGGGCAAAACTAGATTTAGAAAATAGCTACTTAGTTCTTTTACAGAAATAGCTCCTAACTATTTTAAATAAGACTATGGCTTAAACACAAATTCACAATCTAATATTATAGAATCTCTAGAAATCGCTTAACTCTCCGTATCAACAAAAACCAAAGCGTTTTCTAATCGCATTCGTTAATAAAATGTCATTCTCTACTTTGCCAGTAGTAAAATTCATCGTTACTCATTGTCAGTATGATATAAACCCTAAAGGTCTTTGCACGAAATAAGGCGTGCAAGTTCCCACTAATTCAAAACTAACTGAGTGTGCTGCAGTACAAGATATGAGTAAGAATGCAACTCACTTTTAATTCGCTCTCTTTCTTCGTTAATCTTGTTGGATAGTTTATCAACAGTAAAAGCTAAATTCAGGGATGTTAAAGTACAGACACAACTTGCAGATTTCATGCACTAGTTCCTCCAGCTGGGACATATTATATGGTTCTGAAAGCAAAGCGTTAGAATTCTTACAGTGTATCTTTGTGGTAGGCTTTAAAAAATTTCACGAAACCGTCATAAGCAAAGGAAATTCGCCTTTCGTGAGGTGTAATTAATGCTAGAATAACTATGTGTGCAGCAAAAAATTTTCATCATTAAAGGGTGGGAGTGACAAAGCGACAAGTCACAAGCAGTTTGACCAGATTTGAGAATTTGCAAACAATTAAGCTAGACATTAGCATGATTTAAATGACTTACTATTGATTATTGCTAATATATCCTACGCAGCAATTAGAATGTGGGTTGAAAAGACGTCATGGGGTTAGGAATGATGTTCATATAAACAAATGGAGTGCAGACAGTAGAAAAAAAACACTTTTTAATTGATTTAACGGTTTTTTCTTGATTAATTTTTGCAATTTGTTTTGCTCGACACAATCATTTTATGGCTGCTAACACGAAACTTGGGTACAATATTTTAATTTACACAAAATTTTGACACCATTTCAGTTAGGGACCCTTTAATTCACTAACTTACTTCATAACTAAAGGAGGAATTTGATTACTGTGGAATATTCCGAAAGGCTTATTTGCGGAGAAAGTGGCGGTCATTTGCTTCTTTTATTTTTTTCTTCTATTTTTTTTCCCAATGCTTCTTGTAGAATTAGACTTAAATATGAACCTAATCACGTGGATGTGTTCTGGAGCTCTATTCATCACGCGGCTATATCGACGCCCCCGTACCCTGCAACAAGTTCGCACCACTTTGAGAAATATTTTCATTTATAAATATTTCGCATACGCAATCTTTACAAGTTTTTACACACATTTGGCTGATTTCTTAAAGGATCCTCTTTATTGTCTAGTCCCAATACTTAGAAATATTATACGCACAGCGAAAAATAAAAATACTAGTGAAACTCCATTGCCAACTTGATGGAATAAAATTTGTCGGACAAAGTTGATTGGATTGTCATTAAAGCAGTTGCCAAATGTAAGAAAACTTTGAATATATTCACCATTACGTTCAACTGTCAATGCTGCCACTACTTTGGATGCGACGACTTAAGTGTATCCTATGCTAGAAAATCGCTTTTAATGCACAACCTTTGGCAGCATGAATCACTTCATTAGTAGTTGATAGGTTGCACTTGATCAACATTTAAGGCCCTGGATATTTCTGCTTGTATTGTTAGAAGTGTTACTCCATAAGTGCTCATGTCAAGATGTTTTAGCAATGTGCAATTTTGCTACAAATAGCTATTTGCTGTTTGAAAGACTCATTTTGAAAATGATATATAAGAACATAAAAAATCGGGTCGCATCAAGAATCGATTTGAAACTTCTCTGAAGATGGAATAGGCCATAATACTTAAGCAGAATGTGTAAAAACAGACCTACAGAAGAACTGAGGCTGGCTACTGGCATAACCAAAATGCCGTACTGTTCGAAAGGTAAGTAAGGAAGCGGAGCCTCACCTATCCTTGAAACCAAAGCGAAAAGGTAAACAATCAATGCATTGCATAGCCGCTGTTCCCCTTTAAGTGGCGTCCTCGACGCTCCGCTTGGTCAATTTCCCTCGTTGGCCATCGCAACGTAGTTGCTACTGTAAGGGCGACGCCTACAGACCAACCGCTCCAGTCAGCAAATTTACGTGTAAGAGAGAAGATATATGACCACAACATCACTAATGGGTCATCTCATTTCCACTGGGTTTTGTGTTTTGCCCTGTTTAAAAACTATTTTGAGGAGACGGGAGAATGTGCAGACCATCATGTGAGCCATTATGAAAATGGAGAGCAAGCAGACAATTTCATACCTGTCTATTTATCCTCCTATACTTTTTATCCTACCAATTAGCTATAATAGTGGAGTAATATCTCTACTACTTAGCGATTCTTGAAAGCTCTGTTTACGATGTCAGATGCTGTTTAAGTGAGTGTGTTTTTATCTTCGATCGCAATCTATGGAGTGTCGTTAAGAGGTATGATAAAGTAATTCTGCCCTTCATTCGGTTGAGAATCGTGTTTGTATTTGAGGACACAGTGGTACCTTAGTGCCTACGGCAAGTATCTCAAATTACTCTTAGATTTTGCAACATGCTCCTAAGTCAACCAGCTGATGGATCATGCCAATCTTCCTGGCTGGAAGTGCGCCTTTCAATTTAGATTCTTTGACGTGCCTCTGTGATGGCGGCGGAGGATTCACTTTCATCCCCAGTGACCTTGACAGAAAAACGTGCTTTGTCGTACTTCTACAATTTGATGTCATTCAAACTTGTCTGTATCACGGTATTGGGCTCAGATTTCCAAGTCTCTCCTCAATGTGTGTGCAGCGGTTGGAGAAGATTCGGTGGCGATATTAAATCACTCAAAGCTGGAATGCATTCAGCATGGATGTTAATTCTTAACAGGAGGGCCCTACCTATCACCAAAAGATGACCGTCTGACTCATTTCGTTTGCACCGAATTCATCTGAAAAGGCGTTCAAAATAAACCCACGCATTACTTTGTTTTTCTCCTCTCTCATTGACTTGGATTGCTTGCCAATTGACTAAACCGTGAGATAGAGATGATTTATCCACTTTTAACTTGCAAGGTCTAGCCAACGGTCTACCCACTACCCACTCACTTCACATTTATTTTGCAGCAGCAACTTCACCTCCTGAAGGTCATCTTTTGTGTATAGAGTGCACTGAAACTGCATTTACCCACTTTAAATTCTTCTTAATTTTTTTAGAAGCAAAGCGGTTGCAAAGACAGTCTGTCCGTCCCCTTAATTTACAACTCAAAGTTGAGCAATAAGAAAAAGCCAGACCCAGTTAACCCCTCTGCAGGAAATCCACTGTTTAGTCTTACAAGATGACCCATGACCTCAAGCTCTGCACCTAACAATTGTCCCGGAAAAGGTGCGTAGGTTCATAGGGTCGGAGATGCTGTCTCTACTTCACCCTCCGCGTCCGCATGGATAATAATTATTCAGCTGACGATTATCGTCTTTTGACTTGGTGAATCAGAACACATGAGCAGAAAGTAGGGGAGAGAAGGAAATAGGAGCAGTCAGAGCTATGTTGCTCCCTTTTACGGCTCAAAGCGTTATACAAGAAGGGAAAAATTTGCTAAAAACTTATATCACCATGAATAAAGGCAAATGGACTCTGAGTGGTGCCAAATTCAACGAATAAAATGTTTCTGGTAGCTTTTGGGCCTTATTTGATTTTATTGCTTAAAAGAAACGGCAACAGCTTATTTGGTTACCCTACGAAGCATCAACGAATCAGGAAACAGGAGATGGGCCTCATTACAGTCGGTGAGTGCGACAGTTTGGTCAACTTTAAAAAATATTCTAATTTAGCTACTGCAACTTTTAAGTAAAAATAATTTTTTCCTTTTAGAGAGCATTGATCACCATAAAATTTACCAGATCTATTCAAGCAAGGGTAGATTGGCTATATTAAAAGACGCGTACTTATTTAGTGCAGTCGACAACTTCCCCAATCTTGATTAGTTGCCCTAGTCACATATTCTTAGAGAAAGGTCTGCTAAATGCAAAGTAGTTTTCCTAAAAATTGCCAAAATGACACTTTTAGAGAGGTAAATTGCAATAATTTGTAATTGGTTCATTTCTACGCTTTTGTGCTTCCGCTAAGTAGCATGGCTTTCTGGCCAGGCCTGCAGCCCCCAGCCTTGCTCTACGTCGGCAATACGTGCTCCGTCCAAGTATCATGCCCTCACGCGTCTTTAACGTAGTCACGGTATGCACTACATTAGTAGTAGGGTAAGGCAAACCAGAACCAAAAGGTCGACTACTCTAATATCTACTACTATACGATAATCCTTAACACTTCGGAGGAAGAGCATATGCTGTAGATTAAAGAGACTGTGACGACCTCCTAAAGGAGGGCTGAACACGACGATAGGCCTCAGTAACTGTCCCAGTCCCGTGTTCTGTCCGATTGCTATTACAATTTGGCGCAGCACTAGCTGTAAACCATCTGGATTTGTTCTCTTTAGAACCGCCTACAGTACCTGTATGAAGATGTCAATTAAGTGAACACACAATACATCTTCAACCTCTCTACCGACTGGTTCAAACCCATATGGGCATGTGACTGGGCAACACTGAAGTGAGAATGAGGTGGCAAGGAGAAATAGATGCAAACCTCGCCCAGCAAGACTGTTCTTAGCCCCGCTCCTAATTAGATAGCTCGGCTTTGGGGCTAGTGTCCTTACGACTAGCGATGGACATTCCAGATGGTCTACACATTCCCCCTCCCCCAGTACAGTTGAGAAACAGGATAGAACTCCAAATCCGGTAAAATTGTCAAATGAGTGTAGTGAGGTTGCGGCAAAATATCTCCTCAGTTACATGAAAATTTTGATGACTGGCGTAACTAGTCGGCAAGTGGCGTGATGGCTGACGTGGAAGGATGATTAAGTGCAGCGCCAGTAATGACGATCAAAAGGAGAGTCAGATTATGTAACACTTTGATTGTTTGTTTAAACCTCCCATTGTGGTTAAAAGGGCGTTTCAAGCTCTTCTTCTGTCCTTTCGATGAAAGGCTCTAGCCCTAGTTTTATGTCCCTCGTCTATCGAGAATTCTCAAGGCTCTACATTATCTTTGAGCGGTAAACAAAGAAAATTTTATTTGCTTACTAGAAGTGTTTCAATAATGGCATTATTTAATTCACTTCATGTCTATTTTTTATAATTGTTATAGGAATTTTGGGTCCACAGTTGAGGAATACGCCAATGGTAGCCTGTTAAGCTCGGCTGTTGATTGTGCAAGTGCTTAAATCTCGGGAGAAAGTACTTCCGCTGAAAGGCAAGGTCCGCAGGCTACGCCATTAGCCACTCAACTTGCCTGTACGTTATTAATGCATTTTCTACCACTATTACTACTACTTTTCACGATTTTGGGAGAGACTTGGGGTAGTGCAGCTGCTGAGAACCTCGGTATGAATTGTGGATCGACATGCAGGATGAGTACTAAATACCCTTTCCGCCTCCCTTTCTCGTGTTAACCTATGCTGTCCATGTTGGTGCAACTAGACAGATTCACATGGAATAAACATCGACGTGTATGGGTTAGAGGTCGGCAGAAAGCTCAAAGAGAAGAGGAAGGATCGAATCTTTCAAAAAATTGTCATGGACTGTTTCGATTACGAAGGTAACCCAAATGAAAGACTTAAAGAGGAGTTCCAGAAATATCGTGCCACGCCCTTTTCATATCCTTAGGCACTTGGATATCTCCAAGCATACCTGTGAATTTATCAGTGCATTCTAACCTAGACCTTCTCCACAAACCTATTCCAAATGTGTCTCCTCTCAAAGGGAAACTTCTACATCTTGAGGTCACTCTAAATAACAAAAAGGCAAAGAGGCAATGCAGAAGAAGACCTAAATTTTGTCACATGCCGTATCTACTCACACCAGTTAACTAAAGGAGGAATAAGGCGCCATACTTCCACTGCTTGGATGTAAGGCTAAGTACAGTGAAAATAGCGATCACTAGGGTCAGCTGTACCACAAGTAAATTCGAATTAAGCGGATGGATTCAGTTTCTTCGACAATTGCGTGTATGTTTCGCACCTCATCTCAAGTTATGGAAAGCTGTATGTAACCAGTAATTTCCTCTGCTTTGTGGAAAGCAAACTGAAAAATCTTCAGGTAAGATAGTTTTAAGCATTTTTAAACCTCCTTAGGTGGTTATTCGACTTGAAGACGTGGAAAGCTATGAGACACATTCCTCAGGTGTTAACATATATGCCTACAATCAGGTTAGGGTGATTTCCTTTGTGAAATTTATCGAATGCATCATTTTATGTTGTGAATCTTTCTCTTCTTGGTCTTAGAAGCACTCGTTCACTGACTTTGTCGGTGAATCCGGTGTGGCTTTCCTTTCTAACTACCTCCGACTAACCAAAAAGCCGAATCCTGTCGGGGACTCCGGTGTTTCTTCTAAGCCCTCCTTCCGTCAGTCACCCGTTTTGGTCAATGAAAAGGCCTCTAATCCCCTCTTACCCATCGAGCCTCCAACCAAACCTTCTAGTAAGTCAGCCATTTGCTCCGATTTGTGCATCGTTGTGGCTATTTCTCATCTCAAGTATCTTTTCTAGGGTCGAAAAATGGGCTCTCTGCACGACAATCTGTGTCTCCAGCTGACCCTTTGGCTTTCAAGTCTATCACTGGTGACGGTGGTAGCAGCGGCGGTCTATCGACCATTTCCGATGTGGCTTACAAAGCCTCCTGCATTCCTCTCCTTCTTCTCACCCGAATCCTTAGCTTCGCTGTTGCTATGGCAACCAGCTCGCTGCAGGCGACTCCCTTTGGATTTCAACCCCCCCGAGCTTTTACCAAATTTATCGCCTACATAGTGTTAGTATTCTCCTTTGGCTTTTTGGTTGGACTAATTCATGGCGCCCAAAGTCGTTTTTCGCCTATTTAAGCGCTTATTTTGCCACAATTTTCTTTTACAATTGTCTTGATATCTGATCTGGGAAGCGTGATCTAAAACGGTAGCGGATGGGTTTAACAATGGATTTGAACCACCTATGAACTTGCTTGGAACTGCATCTGCGATGCTTTCCTCCTAGTCCCCATAGTTTACGACCTCACTAGAGTGTGTTATGTTTTTGTATTCTCTTATTTTTATCTTCAGGCCGTCAAAAGTTGTTTTTGGTGGCATTCCGATTTCTGTGGTTTTCCTTAGTCCTTATCCAAGACGGTATGTTCCAGCAGATCTCCGAGTTTGACAGTTTTGTTCAGGATCTAGATAGCGGTTTCGAAGCAACGTGTGGAAGGTAGTAGTAAGGTGAATTTTTCGAAGGGAATTTTTGGTATTTTTCCACTCATTCTGCAAATAATTTGTTTCCTCATCGCTTGTGTTTCATAACCTTGTTGGCTGAAATCGTTAGTTTAATTGTCCTGTGTGTTGTGAATGTACCACCCTCACCGCTGATTACGACTTTTTCCAGCAGCAACTTATTTCCTTTGTGTGGGAGAGAGGTTTTTTCTACTCTTAAGTGTCGTCGGTTTCTTCATCGTTGTTTTGTGATCATGTGATATCGTTCTTATTTTCCCCAATTTCAGTATTCATAGCACTTTCACCACGCCTTTTAGCACTTACTGCTTAGATTGCCCAGAGTACCATCCTTTTTCGTCCGGATTCAATTACCTTTCTCGTATATTTTTCATCTCAGCAGTGCCTCTTCCCTTATTCTTGGGCTTTTTAGGCACTTTTCATGCTTTCATTTTGCCATTCTGTTGACGAAGTGTTTTTAAATTGTGTTTCACGAGTGATCGACATTTCACTGACTTCCTCGATGCATGAAGTTCTAGAAGGAGCTATGGATGACTTCAACGATTCCTTTGTCTGGCTTCTCTAGTTGATAAGTTGCATAAATAAATACTAATTATTTCGAGGAGTGTCGGAACTTGCTTAGCTGTGTCTCTTCAAGACTCGAAGCACAACCAAATGCGACTCAATGGTATGGCTTCCGCTTTAGACAGTGCAAAGCTGCACAAGTACCATTCGGCTTTGGCCCTTAAATTTCCCACATATCTTTACTCATTCTGCTGGGTTGAAAGTAAGTTGCCATAGCGGCACTTCTCCATTCTCGAGGATCCATCGCTTAATTGGCCTTCCTTTTGGGTGCTTTAATTAATCAGGACCGCCGATTTTTTAGCAACCCATTGTTAATTCCTTTCTTCTTTGGTCGAATCTCTCTTTATCTTTTACAGGGATTTCATCTCGCATTTCGTATCATTTGAGAGTCTTTTAATCTACCGGTACTTAGAATCGTATTTTTATGGTGTTTTGATGCTGTTTTTGCCTTACAATCTTTGCCCCAGTTTCTCACTTTGTTACCTGCCAAAACCCTCCCCCTCCACTATCTCTCACGCCTTAATTCTGCTTCAGTTTTTGGCATCCCATTGAATTGTTTCAAATGTGCTTAAAACTGCCCCTATTTTTGAGCATGGCTTCTGGGTGTTTTGTGAAACGATGTAGACTAAATGGAAAGTAGTTTGCATACGCTCCCTAAAGGCGACGTAACAGTTTCTTTTTTGTCTTATCAAAATCGGGCTCGCCTCAGATTCCGACCCTCTCCTCTGTTTTTTTATCCCCTTTTGAACATCGATCTGGAATTAATCGTACTTTTTATTTACAAAAATTTCTTTAGAACGTATTGTTCACCACCTAGTTTTTTGTGCTCGTTATCGAGGTCGCAGCTGTGACCTCGTGCTCTTTATCAGTTTTGGGTAGCCATTTGCGCCAAATCGTGTCTTTTTAAAAGGTAGAAAAGAAGTGCGATGTTCTTATTTTGAGAGGAGTCTAGTCTATTTGTAGTTCTTAAGCAGGATAACTTCAAAGACTGCATCGCTGGCGATATCTTGCTAGCGGTGTTGATTCGAAGGAAGTCATCATTCCGCTCTGTAAGACTTGGTGTGAAAGTCTCGGAGGATGTCAGTCATTTTCCATGGAGCCTTGCCATTTCGCTCTTAACGATTTGATATTTCCAGTATATGATGGAAGGGCTAAATTTAAAGCTCTGTTTCTTTTCCAGTTTGGCATTTCTCACTATCTCCGTGGTTTACCTCTGCTACCGTCTTCAGCACATTCCACTGGACGACTCAGTGGGAATTATTAACAGAAACACCTACGTCAACAGTAACGAAGCTGGAGAAGGTGACTGTAGAAATGAGTTTCTAAAAATTGTTGCCTCTCTCCAGTCCCTTTCGCAGGCACTTCAACGGTTAGAGGCTAAACTGACATCCGGTTGAATTTACATCTCATCAGGATCCCCCGTCCCTCCCCTCCTCTCCCCTCCCCTCCCCTCCCCTTCTATATGACTTGGCTTTCCTCTTCTTTTTTCGCTTTATTCTAACCGTAAACAATTTTCTGTGTAAACAGATTGAATAAATGTATTTTTTCCTTTCTGTCGTCCTTTTGTTTTCCCCAGTGTTTGCCTCAGTCTATCTTTAAGAGGCGATTGCTTTTGTGTGACACTGGGGTGGATACAATTAGGCGCGGGACAAAAACAAACCGCCAGAAATGGTTTGTTTTTTACCTGTCAAACCTTCAGAAGTCCGCCTTTTTTCCTGACCTTGGAAATTGTGAGGCGAGCGAGTGCTTCCAGCTTTAAACATTGTACGACAGGATGCCACCGTGGCTGCACTACACGTGGTAGTGCGTGCCAAGTGTGATTTTTTAATTGTTGCCACACATGTGGGCCGGTGCGGTTCCGATGTCTTTGTAGTTTCTGGCTAAGGAAGTCATCTCCTCTGGCACAGAAGACTTCATGGACAGCTCGGCGATGAGAACTTGGTAGTTTCAACGTTTCAAGGCCATGCCCCGGAGTTATTGGCGTCAACCCTGACCCTCGTGATTTTTACCCCACTACGACATTTTTTGCAGTGAAGAAACTGTTGACACACCCGTTAGATTGCACAAGTGGTTAAGCTTCCTGTAGGAACGGTGAGCGCACTCATTCTAGAGGTGATGCAGTCATGTTTTTGACCAGCGTAGAAGAGTTGAGTGTTGAAGCAAAGAAGGCATCAACAAGGCGCGTAACAAATTCTTGCTGCGCTATTTCCCTTTCGAACTGAAACGAGCCTCAAATCAATGGCGGCAGCAATTTAAGCCCTGGAGACGAAGGAAAGCTGTCCTAGGATTGTTCAGCCTCTTAATGAGTCACCTTTCAATGGGGAGATCCATTCAAATAGTCAGCAAATTAATGGTGGATAGGAGCAATCGTAGACTGACGTGTTTCCTGTCTACCCAACATGCAGGAGGCTAGTTAGTCGGGCACCCAGGTGCTCACTTTGTAAAATCAGGGTATGCAAATGAAATGATGGCATTATGATTGCGAAGAATATCTACTTTTTGAATGGTCTTGCCGTAATACGCATCTTTTCTTACCTCCTAGAAGTGGGTCATGGAACTTGGCAAATACTGGCTAGAATGACAAGTAACAAAAAGCGAATAAAATGGAACCACCTTGGTCTGCTAGTTGATTAAAAAAGAAGTGGCTTTACTACAATCAAGGAAAGTTGGCTGTTATGCAACCTCAAGAAATCTCTTCATCTGAGTGCATCTGTACTTAAAGTATGACTTTTTAGGCAAAAGAACTCTAGCATTTCAACATGTTGATCACAGGGAGTCAACAAAGCAATTGACATCACGTGGTGCAAAACTGTTGGAAGACACATTTGTTGTAGTTTATCTGGGAAGAAATTGTACGTTTACAGAGGAAAAATTCTAAATGATGCCTTTTTTAAGCAAGTGGATCTCAGATAGCAACAAAATATGCGATCGTAGTACCCCAACTCTTTCCTGACGTTAAGAGGTGTCATAGTACTAGGGCAGACGACATACAGAAGGGCCGTGAGGGGCTACTGACACGGCTCGGTGATCCCGTCCAGCGGAATCACCATGGCCGAGTCTTGAGTGTCCGCATAAGCAAGACGAAGGGTTAAACAAATAAATCGGGCATTGCATAGCTGCCCCGGATATTCCCCTGGTCAACCTCTCGCGTTGGCCATCACGAGGACGTCGGAGCTGCATTGGATAGACAGCCATTAACTAGTCACGCCGGTCATCAAATTTGCGTGCAAATGAGAGGGCATCTGAGGTCAACGCTGCTGATGCCGCTTGGCGAACCCACTGGAACTGGTGTTCTGTCCTATTTGGGAACTGTATTAGAAGAAGGGAAATGAGCTGGCCTTCTCGTATCCTCATGGCTGGTCGTAAGACCACTAACATGAAAGGATGGGATTTAAAATAATTTTGTGGGATTAAGGTTTTGGGTCTGCTTCTCCCTGAACCTTTCTCCTCACTTTAGTGCTGTTCAGCCATATCTATCTGGGTTCTATCCAGCTAGAGGTGAGTTGGAGGAGATAGTGCGGCTAACATGTGCTGAATTTAGTATAAAAACTGAAAAAAAAAACATGACTTTAATTCTCCAATATAGTAATATATTGTAAGTAATAGCCGCCCTGATAAACTTTACAAGCAGATTTTGACAAAGCTGACTGAAGTAGGCGAAGGTAGAATTAAATCAGGGTTTCAAGGTCACAGGGTCAGTCGAAGACGCAAAGACTAGAGCAGTGGTTGAATCATTCCACGAAATGTCATGCGTGAATTTGATTACGAAGGTAACCCAAATGAAAGACTTAAAGAGGGGTTCCAGAAATATCGCACCACGCCCTTTTCATATCCTTGGGCACTTTGATATCTCCAAGCATACCTGTGAATTTATCAGTGCATTCTAACCTAGACCTTCTCCCCAACCCGATTCAGAAGTATTTCCTCCGCAAGGGCAGTTTCTACATCTTGATGTCACTCTAACTGACGAAACGGCAAACACGCAACGCAGAAGAAGACCGAAGTTTGGTCACATGCCGTATCTACTCACACTAGTTAGCTAAACGCGGAAGAAGGTGCTAAGTTCGGTGAAAATACCGATTATTAGAGACAGCTGTATTACACGTAAATTGGAATTGAGCAAATGGATTCAGATTTTTTCGACAATTCATCTCAGAAAAGTACGTGATTCAGTCCTCAACTCGGCTGTTTCCAATCCATGGAAATCCTTTCCCCACACCAAACCACCTCAAGAGAGGGAGTGTAGAGGGTGAGGAAGCTCTTCAGAATCTACACAGCACACGTCCAGTTACTGACATGGACTGGAATCTACGAGAGGCCTCCCACCACGATGCTCCTTGGCCATCATCCATCAGTTGGAGTGTGAGTGGATCCATTCGAGGCATCCGTCAACGGTTGGCGTGGCTCTTATTGGCATTGACAGCATACAGATGTGAGTGAAGCCACAACTTGGTGGAGGAGGAACAATGACGACACAAAACAGAAGTCGGAACTGTCATTCAGTCCACAGTGCGGCAACGTCCGTGCTGGCTCTTTGCATGGCTCCAACCACACACCCACCGTACCTACGCACTTCCCCTTCTTCTAATGCCAACGCCACGAGACGCGACCACAACACTGAAATGCACCGCGAATTGAAGGATGAGAACAAAATCACACCGAAAAGACATGGCCTGGTTTGTCTGGGTCTTTGGATACATCTACGTGTGTCCATGAGCACATTGTCAGGAGCCATTCTCATCCGCGGTTCACAAAGCCAATCCACTTTCTGACAAGATGTGCTTGACCGCATTCAAACAATGAGGCAAGCTTGTTGACTCATCTCAATTACCCATCGAGTGTGTTCCATTCGTGTTGGTGACCCCAAATTTAACTGTCAGCACAGCGCCTTGCTTTGCACACTTCATCTAGGATCGGGTTCATCTGAAAGTACAACCATCTCGTATTTCATAGACCACCATTCAGCCATGAAATGTAAAACCTGTGGTATCACAGGGCAAACAATCACGGTAGCTACATTACAATCCATTTCGCGTTTTGTTGTCGAGCTCTTTGCCTTAATGGCAGTGTACACTTCCTTGTTCCTGTCAACAAAGCCAGATTTCGGAAGCATTGGCTCCCTTGAGACCACGAGGATGGGAAGCACGAGTGATTGGAAAGATTGTGTTTGAAGCACAATCCCACATGACGCCAATACCTTGGTGCAGACGTCAGCTCGAGACACCATCGAAGGGACGGACGAGGCACTTGAGGAGGTGGGAATGAGGCTAGCTAATGCGCGAAAAGCGAAGCGCAGCAGAGCGTCGTCTACAAGTCAGCGATGCAGGTCGGATGCTGTCGTTTGAGAAGATAATCTACTCTTCAAAAGCACCAAGTCACATGAGGGAAGTCAGTCAAATTACAGGGTGGATGAGTTCATCCACCACACCTCCGCCACTTTTATGCCCACCAGACGCACGCCGAATTCATGATGAGGCAATCTACCTCTCCACCCACTTCCTCAATCCATCCAGAAAATATCCATCCATCCAACCCGCACCCATCCATCAATCCATTCACCCGTCCACCGCAACGCCCATTAGACGGCTGCGTTTCTCTTCACTCAGTCTGACGTCGATTCACCTCTGGTTCACTCACCGCGTGTTCACCACCATCTCACATCGCTCTCCACCACTTGGCAACACCCGCGTCAGTTTTCAAGGCGAACTCCGATTATACAAGATTTACTTTATGAAAGAGGCAAAGAGACAGTAATGCAACACTGCCTTTCACATATCTGTCCAACACAACATCTCACTCCCTCCGAAGGCACCCCCTCACGAGTGCCATCACGTCAACAGAACTTGCTTGATGGTCAGTGGCGGCACGAGCACTTACTTGCAACACAGAATCCACAATCTGTGCTCCTCACGAATGAAATGCTTCTGCAACCGACACTTCAATTGCTCCACCTCCAAGCTGCCCTTCTCAAACACCTCCCTTGTCAACTCCACATCCAACGTCTCTGAACGCTTCGGGTTCGTGTAGAAGAAGTACGCATCACGACTGTCATCATAGCGAAGTTTGTCGTAGATGCAAACGTCGTGAAGGAATTTGCCACCCTCGGCTAGATGCCAACACAGCAGTGCGAGGAGGATGGTGAGACTGGCCAACACACGAGTCATGGGAGCAATCACGTGGTGGAAGTATTGATTGTCCGACTGGACAGTGACAATGTGGCCACTGACCAGACGTGTCCGTCTCCCACTCCCACGTCTGGCTGTCGACAGGTGACTCATCTGCCATCATCTTGCCAACTTGCCAACTAGCAGTCATGATGCACACACACACACGCACATGCTGGTCAAATGGACATTGTGACTGGGTGACTTCTAAGTACTCGAGAAGACATTTCAATTGCTATGGTGGCACTTCTCGGTCTACACTGCAAATTCCATCAACATGCAGCGTTATGTTGACTGAAGTGGTGGTTGTGCTCATCACATGGCACAACTAACCGAGTGATCCACTCTCCAGTCAACTTGCCCACAAATTTGGAATCATCAATATTCCGTCATTCCGCCTTCACACCCTCGGTGTGGCGGAATAATGATGGCAAATTAGCAAAGGAATTGCCGCACAAGCTTTCCCACTTCCAAATCGTGTTGTTTTTACACAAAGTCACCGAGTGGATGCTGTGTCACCCAGGTACTCGTGAAGCACACCAGTCGGGGATGTGAAGAGAACACGGGTCGTCTTCTGTCACCACCACCACCACCACCACCACC